GCGATATTTTTTTCGACTATATATATATATATTGTTTGTGCATAAATATTGGTTAATTATTTATACGTTTTATTAAAAAAAGGGGTAATCACATAAAAATACATGAATTTTTACAAAAATCCCAAATAAATACCCGAACTATAAAATTATCATATAAATACATGAACTTTTCAAAACTCCCACATAAATACCCAGACTTTTAAATTTTGTCCAAATCAAACAAACGCAACTGCTGACTCAGCAAAAAACTGCTGACTCAGCAAAAAAAACTGCCGACTCAGCAAAAAACTGCTGACTCATCATTTAAAAATATTATTAAATATCCAAAGATTCATCTACATGTATTTAAATTAATATATGCATATAAATTCACATATATATACAAATATATATATATATATATATATATTAAAAATAAAATAATTTATAATTAATAAAACACATATACATATAACTACAATATATATATATATCATTACTAATGCATATATATTACAATTTTGTATATAATTATAAACCCCTAATTAGTTGTATATGTATATTTTATATATATAACTAATTATAATTATATATATTAGTTGTATATATACATTTTGTATATATAACTAATTATAATTATATATATTAGTTGTATATATATATTTTGTATATATAACTAATATATATACATATAAATAGTATTTTTTAATATATATTATATGTATATGTGTTAGTTATAACTATTTTTATTTTAATATGTACATTATATATGTATATAAATTTAATTATAATTATTTTTATTTTAGTATATATGCATTTGTATGATATATATATATATATTGTAGTTATGAGTACATGTGTTTTATTAATTATAAATTATTTTATTTTTAATATATATATATATTTGTATATATGTGAATTTATATGTATATATTAATTTAAATATATGTAGATGAATATTTGAATATTTAATAATATTTTTGAATGCTGAGTCAGCAGTTTTTTTGCTGAGTCAACAGTTTTTTTTTGCTGAGTCAACAGTTGCGTTTGTTTGATTTGGAAAAAATTTAAAAGTTTGGGTATTTATTTGGGATTTTTGTAAAAGTTCGGGTATTTTTATACCATTACCCCTTAAAAAAAACATAGAGTGAAATGATTTTTAAAAACCAGCAAAAACTTGTACCAAGATTTTAAAAGCGGATGATACGTTATAATATAGTCTTAATATTTAGGATGGCTTTCCGCCCCGAGTTCGAGTCCTCAAGTTGGGGAGATAAATCTATATTCTAATCATATAGCTTGCATCCGGTTTCGAGATTAGTCTGGACTTCGATTCAAGATACTTAGTTACAAATAAAAAATAATTAGGATGGATTTAGGACTCAAATTGTAAAATTCATATTTATTTCCATATCTCATTTATTTGACCAATTGGAAAATATCATGTTCAAACTCTAGAGAGAAAAAAAGCATAATCTCAGCTCACCAAAATATTCGAAAAAAGATTTGAACATTAGAGTTTAATTAAAAAGGTAGTCCAATTCACAAACATCCCGTTGGACAAGGTCCGGGAAAGGGTTCCATTACGAAGGTGTATTGTATGCAAATCTTACCTTGCAGAATATAGAAATTACATATATAATCGAATTTTAGGGGGGGGGGGAATTTAATTTATACGAAATTCGGATAATTTTGTATGTACTCCCTAAATTTACAAACCATGTAGACAGAAAATGTATGACCTAAACTCCTCTCTTGTCTGTGTACCGTATACCCCATCACATGAGACATTACCATTGCAAAATCAGGATTAAAACTGATCCTTTGACTACTAATACCCGTTCTCGACCTCGTAAGGGTTGGATACTCGAGTTTTGGCACCCGATCTCCATCCTTTGACTCTTCGGCTCGGGCTATCAACTGATATGGGTATTCACGGTCGAAATCTAAACCCAAACCCGAAAATCGATTTGTTGCCATTGACAGATATATATATCCTCGTTTATCATAATGAGTGCGAGCCATCCTCTTCTACTGAGGTTTGATTTGAGCTTTGGTGCTGCCCTCTCTTGCTTGGACTGGTTGCCATCTTAACATGCTTCTAAAACATGATAAAGGCGACTATGACATTTGTAAAGGGCAAAAAATTCCTATTAAGACCCTTTGTAAAGAAAATTACAGTGACGTACAAAAGGTCTTTGACTCACATTCTCTATTATTGCATGCACAGGACACTGCTTTATGGAACCCGACTTCAGCCTCCTTTGCCGAGGAGAAACGATGCCTTCAGCGGTGGACTCATCTTAAGGAGATCGAGGAGGAATTTCTAAAACAAAAATCTCGGGTCCACTGGCTTCGTACAGGCGATCATAATTCAGGTTTTTTTTTCTTTTCAGATCAATGGTGATCAGAAACTCCAAGAAAACTATCCGCCATTTGATATCTCCAGAAGGACAGCGAATAACGGACCCAAAACAAATTTTCTCCATGGCTGTTGAATATTTTGAATCCACCATGGGGCCCACACGTTTGGCACGTCAGGATAACTTTGTTCAGAGCTTTGTTATAGGAAACATCTCAAGGGCTCCTGAGTCAGTGCTACAGGCAGCGGCATCAATGCCATTTTCGGATACTGAAATCAAATCAGCGTAGGAATCTCTGTCTCCGAATAAAACTTCGGGCCCTGACGGTCTAACGACAGAATTTTTTCTGAAGACATGGGATATACTTGGCGCAGAATTTACTCAAGCGGTCCAGCACTTTTTCATAACTTGCTCTATGTCGAAGTGTATAAACGCTACCACTTGGTGCTGATTCCGAAGGTTCCTGGTGCGGAAAAGCTGGCCGATTTTTGTCCCATCTCTTGCTGCAACACAGTCTATAAGGTGATCACAAAACTCCTAGCATCCAGACTTAAGCCGATTGTTGAAGCAGTTACACCTCGCAACCAATCGGCGTTTGTTAGTGGACGAAGCATCACTGAAAACTGCCTACTGGCTGCTGAAATCCTTAAGGGTTACCACAGGAAGAATGTCACTAGGAGGGCTACAATCAAGTTAGATGTTGCGAAGGCTTTTGACACAATCGAATAGGATTTTATGCTGATTGTGCTACGTGCTCTGGGGTTGCCTGACATTCTCATTGCATCAATCCAGGCATGTATTACATCTCCTCACTTCTCTGTTTCTATTAATGGGGTCTCTTTGGTTTTTTTAAAGGAACCAGAGGGTTGCGTCAAGGATGCCCTTTATCACCATATCTGTTCATCTTGAGTATGTCGGTCCTATCTAACATGCTAAATTCGGCGGCGGCTCATAATCTATTAGACAACCATCCAGGATGCAGAGAACTAAACATAACCCACCTACCATTTGCAGATGACCTGTTGGTTTTCTATGATGGTTCAAATCCCTCGCTTCAGACATTATTGCAGCTACTCCCAGTTTAGTGACATGTCAGGATTATACATCGACAAAGGGAAATCTAGCCTTTATGTAGGAGGTTGCACTGAGGAGGAATTGCACCATATGGTGTCGATGACGGGAATCGAGTCCTCAGATTTGCCTTTTAGATACCTTAGGCTACCTCTTTCCTCTCGTAAATTGTCCCCGAATGACTGCTCACCGCTAATAACGAAAATCAGAGGTAGAATGGAATCGTGGACATCACGTGCTCTCTCTTTCGCCGGCAGACTACAACTATTAAGTTCAGTTATCTCAAGTATAATCGACTATTGGTGCATCGCCTTCATTTTACCGAAGCATACCATACAACAGATCAACCCTCTGTGCTGGCTTTCTTGTGGAAGGGAAAAGCCGAACCAACTAAAGGGGCAAGAGTGGCTTGGGATACAGTGGCACACCCGAAGAGGGATGGAGGCTTGGGGTTACAGAACTTGTCACAGTGGAATGACATTGCAACACTAAAATTGATCTGGAGTTTATTCTTTCGAGCGGGCTCCTTATGGGTGGTTGGATACTTCATAAATACCTCTCACCTTTTCCTTTTGGTCAGTTACTATCAAGCCTAATCAGTCATGGACATTCAAGCGGGTATTGAAACTGAGATGCTGGGCTTCCGAGTTCTTTACTATTCGAGTTGGAAATGGGCTAAGCATCACAGCTTGGCATTCACCTTCAATCGACCATCGCTGATGCTTACTCGGATGGGCCATGGCAAATGCCCCCTCCAAGATCTAACCCCGCTATCCAGCTAACCGTCCACTTAGCTTCTTCCTCACTCACTAACAGTCCCGATCAGACCTTATGGCAAGTCAATGGAAAGGTACACTCGATTTTCTCTTCTAAGGTTGTGTGGGAAACTATGAGTAGCTCCTCCACAGCTGTTCTATGGCCAAAACTTGTTTAGCACAAACATCATATCCCTAAGTTTGCTTTTCCATTGCTGGCTGGTTAATTTAAATCGCTGCCCCACTAGAGTTAGGATGATCTCTTGGGGTCTTCAAGTTGATCCATGTTGCCTCTTATGTCGACAGCAGGAAGAAACTAGAGACCACATCTTTTATGAATGTGTATTCTCGAATTCATTGATCCAGACTACACTGGGTAAACTAATTCCGGTAGGATCATTCTCATCTTGGAGTAATATCTTGCAATTGTTGGAATCCTTTCGTGGCTGTAAAATCAAGAGATGGACAGCTTTAATGATTTGGCAGATTATTACTTATATTATTTGAAAAGTGCGGAACACGAGACTTCATCACTCCATCTTTCAGGATCTTCACTCACTAATCAGAGAAACGGATAAAGTCTTCAGGACTTGTATTGCGGCCCTCTGCATGACTGCACCAGAGCTCGCGGGGCACAAACGTCCAGATATGGTTCTCTGCAACTGTTTAATCTTAGTTATTCATTACTGTACACTTATTTGGCAGGTTGTAATGATTTATGATTTTGTAATGCTTCTATAGTAACACTATGTATCTTTTCACCCACAGTTAATACAATCCTTTATAAAAAAAAACAAGACTTGAACTTTTCTGCATTTGTATGCACCATGGAGAGACATGACCATATGAATTGGATGAAAACGCAGAAATCGGAAACTCCGTGTTTGATCCAGACATAGAAAGTTTAAAAGAACTCTATCCAATGCAACAGGCGAACCGAAGGTTTGCTCTTCAAGCAAAAAGAGATGGAATCAAACTAGCATTACGAGTTAATCCCAAATAGCATGGATCATTTTCAATCAGCAGGACCTAAACGACGAGCCTGTATTCCTGAGCTTACAACAAAACCGAACCTAACAAAATAACGAATACCGCAGCTGCATTAGAAGGTCGGATCAGAAGCCTACTTGGTCGGGCCGAGGTAGAAACAAAAAAAGGCTGCACAACCACTTGAGGTCTGAAAACATTTTCTCATTTAATCTTCTCTATGATGTCTGCAATGACTTCTTTCATGTCCAGCGCCTTCATTTCTGCAAATGGTCGCTTCATATCCTGCAGAACATTTAAAAAAACAAAAAAATTTTCTCTCTCAAGTAACCAACACAAAAGGCCATCACTTTGATACTACAGACTTTCAGCCACCAAAACAGGTCATTTCTTGAAAACTCCAAATGACACAGGAAAGCAAAATTCAGTTTATGTAAACCTCCCTATATTCAACACATTCATGCTGATAATAAACAGCCGACGCCATTTTATAATGCTCCAAACTCATTAGCTTGTTTCAGGCGGGTGTTTTTATCAAATCGATGGATGACACTAAAGGATGCAGAGCCAATGTTACTGCTCTAATTCATGTGAAACAAACAGTAGGATCAGGCAGCAAGATTCTGTAGCCAAATGGATCAAACTCGTTCAGGGAAACACAATGAATAGGTAAATTTAAGTATTAGAATGAAAAATTTACCAAAAGACTGATGATTTTCTGGCCACCTTCCTCCCGAATCTCAAAGCAGCCCCTCCTCGGCTATTCGAGCAAATTAAAAGAAAAAATCAGCATAACCGAGAACATGATCAACAAACAAAAAACCATCCTTTCGCAATGTTTTGTTAGTAGAGTCATACCTTGTCAGGGTTCACAATCACAGTGATGCCAGGAACACCTTCTTCCAAGCCCTCTTTCACCTGGATCGCCCTCGTCTTGAAAGAATTGCATTGTTTGCTTCAAGAATAAATAACCGGAAACAACAGAACAACATAAGATTGTGCAAGAACAGTACAAACAGAAGCGGACAAGAGAACAAATCATAAAAGGCCAAAGACACATGATGAACAAAGACTCAAATCCAAAAGACGGATACCATGACTGTCAAACATCACATCACAACACAACTTCACCCGAGAAAAGTAAGACAAATTAGGGTTGACAGACAGCTTCATCTTCTCTCTTATCTTTGCAAAAATCCAGCAAATCGAGAATGGAAACCTAAGACACGAATGGAACCCTAACTAGACGTAGTACGCGGGAAAACGAAGCTTATACACGGATCGGAATTTCTCTATACAGTTTATCCACGGAGACGACGGCAAACGTCAACTTAAAACATTTGCTACTACAAATTTCACCAGCTTTCTCAGGAACCCTAAAAATAAAAGCAGACAGAGGAAATGAGTTCTGTTTTACCAGTGTTCGATCACAATGGTATTTTTCTTAGAATCCTCAGAAGCAACACCTTCCTCCGTTGCGTTCTCTTTCGTATCCTCTTCCTTCCTCTTCCCAGCCTCCTTCCTTGTCTTCCTCTTAGCCTTCTTGGCAGAAGAGCTAGTGTTCACGAGCTTGGTGGCGGACCCGGTCGAGTTAGCACCGTTCCGCTGAGTCGAGCTCCGAGTCCGGCGAACCATGCTCCGAGTCACCCTCAGCGACGCCGTCACAGGCTTCGACTTCTCCTCTCCGTCGGTCTTGGTCTTCCTGGGCGCCATTGATCGGAGAAGTTGAGCTCGTCGGAATATCTCCCCAGTCTCCACCCCCAAATCGTGGAAGCGTTGAAGATTGGTACAATGTTTTGTACTCTCCTCTTTCCAATGGGAAAACCGGCATAGATTATTATTATTATTAATTAGTTAAAATTCGTTGTAGAATAAATTTTAACCGCTCGACTCTTCGGCTCGGGCTATCAACTGATATGGGTATTCACGGTCGAAATCTAAAAGGTGACTTCGATTTGACCTAAGCAGGTGATGGGTACCAAGGGTCATACGGTTTCCGAATTATATTTTCAAAAAATTTGGAATGGATATATTTTTAAAAGGCCGAATAAATCAGAATTAAATCCGATATTATAAAAACCTGAAAAACTAATTTTTATTAAAACATAGATTTTTTGAGAATCGAACTGAACCAATCGTATTATTTTAATGATACAAATTTTCTATAACCGAATCACGAAAAAACACATTTGTAGTTAATGAAAATTGGAGATGAATAATTCGTTTAATATTTACGGATCGGATATAATTCTAAATAATAAATGATGTGTACATACCGAGTGTTATATTTAATATCTGATTTGTATCATTAACCGCAAGTATACAGTAGTTGTAGTAATGAGATAGAACACGAAGATTAGGTTGTATTAGTCTATCTTAGAGTAGATCAGTGGTCAAATAATGATATAAATGATGATGTATATTAGAATGAAAGCAAACAAAAAAGACTAAAAGATTGGCAAACGATGATTCAAATATTATAGGTTCGGGATCCTCATGATTTACATGGATAGTTGATGATGTTATGATATTTATAGAGTTAATTCTCCAAGTTGGGGTTTCAAGTACCTTATAACTAGAGTTTGTCTCTCCCAAACTTAAATTCATTATCTAAGAAATTGATTTACTCATCTCTCAATGACTTAAATGATCCTTAGATGCATTAATATTATTTCTATCATGAACCCTAGACAAGTTAAACCATTTTTCATGAAGTACTTGTTTTCTCTCTCCTAGGTCATTCTCTCTCACATGCGACCAAAAAACCCAGTGCACCCAACAATACGATCGGTCGTTGCTGGCCGTATAAACCACACCCGCCATCCGGCAGGCCACCGTCGGTTGGATCCCCTTGTCGGACCACTTCTGGCTAGGTAAAAATAGCCTTCACACTTCCATCTTCGCCCTCCACCATGCTGACGAGACTCGAGTCATTGCCCGCCCCACCAACTTTGGGCATCCTAGGTCGGAAAATTATACCATGCTCCACCTCCTCCCCAACCCCCTTCCTCTCCCTCACCCTCTGTTGTGGCTCCTCTATGCTCCTCTGGTAATCCCCTCTGCCCTCTCTCCGGTCTGGCCCTTCTAACTCCAGGCTGTGTCAACCATACTCTATCTTCTGCTTTGCTGGCCTTGTTGGGATTCCTGGGATCTCATGAGCGAATCCTATTCCTAAGAGATCGATTCTAGGGTTTGCGCAGCGGATGTAAAACAAAATTATAGAACCCTAGAACCATGCTGCTATTGAAATCGTAGAAACGTTAAGAACGCTTACCTCAATCGATCCGGGGCCTGTCTCTATCGATGAATCGTTCTGATCACGAAAGGCAGGAAGATTACCTCGCCCTCTACACGTATCCACACCTCGGGATGGATTCCAACGATTGGAACTTGTCTGCTAGGACTCGAATCTCTATTCGATATGTGCACCGAGAAATCCCGAGACTTAGAACTCGTTTTTGGATCTCCAAAAACTCACACTTTTCTGCAAAAGTCGGCTGTCAAAAGTCTCTGCTTAATTAGGGTTCTAATCACTTTCTTATAAAGTGATTTAACCCTAATTTCGGTTTAATTTTCGGAAAACCGGAACCCGGAACGGACGGTCCAGAA